AAAATGCTCTATCCAAGCTTTTTAGCAAGCTTTTTTGTTCCTTATTTGTTATTCTATACAAACTTTTTGTAGTAGTTTTGTATTTTAATCAAGTTTCTTGATCACATTTGCCACTTGGGAACATGGAAGACTAAGTTTGCATAAGTTAATTGTGGAAAGATTAAGTTGCTAGGCAATGTTGTGATCTCTCTTGCTTGAAGATAAGAAATCACGTTTTACTCAGTTTTATACATTGGCCAAGGGTTTGCCAGCAAATTTAGCATTTCTAAGATTTTTAAGGCTTTGATATGTAAACATAAATTTCCTATTTGACTTAAATAGGCAAGTTCTGGGTTTTTATTAGTTTGTTTTTGTGAAAGATTTGATTATATGTGAGCTCAGATCCAATAAATATAATATACTGTTACTTCATTAAACTAGCACATAATCCATATTTGTTGTAGTCGACTCTTTGGTTTCATGAGATGGTTTGAGCCCATTTGTGAGGGTGCTCAGAGAGTTAATCACGGTAATTTATTGCAAAAAGTAAGTTAAACAATCATATAGTCTAGATTATTATTCCTGTTCCAAAATGCTTCATTTGAAAACCTTTTTAGTTTCTCATATGAGTCGCATTTGTTTGAAATACATTCATTTGATATCAAGTTATCAGTCATACCCAAGAAGTGATTGACTACCTGCCCAGTTATTCCGTGAAATGTAACATTTTAGTGACATTAAGAACCATCCCGTTGAACAAGCAACTACATCATATTTGTTTGATGTCAATATCTTCATATGAATGGCTTTTTGCCAAATGAATTAAATGTCCTTTGTATTTACGATTTAGATTGATATTATTATAATACAGTATTAATGTCAGACTGTGTTTATTTACAAATATTTGTTCCTTTGAAAGGCTGTGTAATACAAGTGTAAACATGTATATATACTTCTATATGGTAGGGAATTCAGTTCTTGGAAAATAAACTTAAAGCTGAAGGAAAGCAAGCAGACACAAGAATTTATTGCCAGCTTGGCCATTTTCACCTCCTCTTAGAAGATTTTAACAAAGGTATTGTGTGTGAATATTATTTTGCATAAAAGGTTTAGGATATGTATGGAGGATATTTTGCACAAAAGGTTTAGAGTATGTATGAAGGCTTTGTTTTGTTTGTCCCTTGAGAAGTTTGTGGATGTTTTGACACAATATTTTGGTCTGGCTCTGTCATCTTGAATCATGAAATTTCCATAAGCTGTATAACATTTCTTATATTGCACTCTACCTGTAGTTCCTCAACCTCAGATGATACAAAGCATGTTTTGTGAATTGTCTACAATGTTGATTCATAAGAGATTGATTCTTAAAGTGCAAATCGAGAATGAATTTGAAATATAGGTTTCTGCCACAACATCAAATTAACCATACATTTATTGAATTTTCATAGTTCCTCTAAGTATATGTAGAAATCTGAGTATGGTCCTGAAATTTGATTCTGTCAAGAAGCTAGGTGCCTTGGGTAAGCTTTGTTTCATGGCTATGAATACTGCTATGGCTTTGCAGCTTTGCTTGTACCTATAACTTTTGTAAATACTGGGATGAATGACAATTGTGTTTCCTTAGATTAAACAAAACACTTATCTTGAGGTTACCTTGAATATTCCAAACATTCTTTTTCTAGCTATGTCTGCATACCAGCGTTTTTTCAATTTACATGAAGAGTATTTCAAGGTACTTTTATTTAGCCATCTTTTTATGCAGGCCTTTGTCACAATTTTGTGTTTAAACTTCCTTGAGATGCTGCTACTCCAGGAGTGAGCTATTGAAGCTTTAAATTCAAAGGAATTTGTTTCAATAAGTATCCATAAGTTCCTTCCCAGGGTTACATCTTTCTCATAATTATTCATGACAAAACTGGGAACCTCATTTGTATGCTGAAGTGCCATCATTTTGTGAAATTTGAGACTAATAAGGAATAACAAGCTGACAGTTTGATAGAAAAGATTTGGAGTTATGTTTCAATTGACACTAAGCTAAGCCAATCTGGGCAAGAGGATCTCTACCAAAGTTGCTATGAATTGTAGCATTGACTCATTTGGTAATCAGGCAAGTCACCATTGACCAAATATTTTAAAATCATTTGGACCTGTATTGGGGGTACAATGCCATTTTTAGCTAATTTAGTTTTGAAGTTAATCTACTTCAAAATCATAACCCCCTCTTGTGCAATAACCCATTTCTTGTTTAGACTTTTTGGTGCTTTTCTACCGTTGTTTAGAAACAGATGATCTAAACAGATAGCTAAGCTAATTGATTTTGTATAGAAGCTTCTGAATAAGGAAAAAGCAAATTGGATGCATAATCTTTGTTACTGAAAGTGACTCTCTGGTGATTCAACAAGTTTGAAGTTTGAGTAAGTTATTTCTGTTTCATTTCAGGATGCACCGTTTTTGTATGGTTTAGGAATAGTATATTTTCACTTTAATGCATATCAGTGGTAAGTAAGTAGGCAGTGTCCCATGCATCTTAGCAAATGTTAGCATTCTAGCATAATTCTAGAGTCAGAGTAGGCATAAGTGGTTCACAAAATAAAGTATCATCGGTATATATTTGATTTGTTTTATGTCCTCTGGCTGAGATAGCCATATCAATGTTGAGGCATATCTTTTCAAGTAATTTATCTAGTTTCTTAATATTTGAAAATTTTAATAAGAAATTTTAAAATTCGAGGATGATGAATGCTTCAAAGTATGTCATTTCATGTCACTAGCTGTGTCTAACAATAGCTGTGTCATAGTTAATCTCACAGTCATAGCACATGGTACTGCTTAGAAAAGCAGTCTTTCTCTCTTGAGATAACATTTGGTTTTTGAGAAACCTTTTTTCTTGAGAAGATTAAATCTGTTATTTTTAGTTTCAATAAAAGTCTGTTTACTACTTTTTTACAGGGCAATTAAAGCATTTCAGCAATTGTTATATATAGATCCAAGTTTTAACAGAGCAAACGAAGTCCATTTGAGACTTGGTCTTATGTTCAAGTCTATGGCAAATTATGATGCTAGTTTGAAGGTAAGGACTGATTAATTATTGCCCGCAACTCGCGCGCGATAGCGCGCGAGTGAAGGGCTTATAGTCTGCCCCGCGTATAAGTAGCATATGGAAGCTTCAGTTCATGTTGTCAGCACTTTTTCAGCAGATTTTGTCACTTTTCTGCTGCCATGACAACTGTCAATCAATTTCATTGTCAATCAATCGGCTTTGTCGAGGAGGTCGTTAACCGCCACCTCTTTGTGCGGAAGGGAATTATCTTCGGAGCGTTGCTCTGCCAAGACTCTGTTAAAGGCCTTCGGTTTTTTGGCACGAAAACGGTGCTGCATCACAGCTCTGTTCTCCGCAATGGATGGAAGTTTTGATTCGAAGTTTTGGGAATCAAAACCAGTCGAATGCCACACTTTTCTCCCAAAAACTCGAGACCGTACGAGCAAAAGTTATGATTGTTGGCACGAAAACGGTGCTGTATCACAGCTCTGTTCTCCGCAATGGATGGAAGTTTTGATTCGAAGTTTTGGGAATCAAAACCAATCGAATGCCACACTTTTCTCCCAAAAACTCGAGACCGTACGAGCAAAAGTTATGATTGTCTTGATTATCGAAAAATAAATGTCAAACCCTCGAAAAACTTCATGATTTTCAAAAGGGCGTTGGACTTAAATCAAAGGCAAACTGAACACCAAAAATTCTTGATAAAAAGAATAGTTTAGCATCAACTAGAGCAGCTGTTTTTATAGAATTGTGAAAACCCAAGATGGTGTCTTCTTCGAATATCCTGACCTACATTTTCAAAACAATCATTATCAAGGAACTAATTGTTTGCGGGCAGTACTAGCAAGAGCTATTTCTAGTATATGTAATAGTTGGCCATGCAGTGAAGGGTGATGGTTTGCTTTCATTTGTAGTCATTGGAATCATTATCAAAGCACCAGCTACATTTCTAAATCTGATTTTGTTTTTATTATACTTATTGATGTTTCAGCTTTATGTAAGAACAAGGGTATTTGTCACACCTCTTAATGATATACAGTTAATTAACTTAAGAAACATTCGTTTTAATAGAGCTGCTTGACTTTGGATTGACTGATATTTATCTCATTTCTTTTCAGCATTTTCAACTTGCGCTGCTAGATTCAAATCCTTGTTCTCTTTCAAAAGTTGAGAGTAAGTTGAATATTCACAATAAGACATCATTTCTAAACCTTTCTTTACTCAGCACCTTTTTTCAGTCTTGGTGCACAGTAAAGCTTAGATTTTAGACTTCTGTGCTATAAATTCCTTCTGTGCTATAAAATAAGCTATAAATTCCTTCTGGTTTCTCAGACTTTGATTTTACATTTATTTCCATCTTCTGTTTCAGTTCAGTTTCATATAGCTCATTTATTTGAGATGCAGTCAAAATTTGATTTGGCAAAAGAAGCCTACCAAGCCATTATTAGTGCAAATGGGATGCCTCCTCATATACAGTCAGTTGCTTGGAGGCAGCTAGGTAAGCCATTAGTTTAAAAAACATGCTCAAGGTTGCCCAACATGCTTTGAAAAGCCTATACTATCAAAGTTTTCAAGTTGCCTACAATATATGGTTTTCACTTTGAGATTTTTTACTTTGATTGGTATTAAAGTCCTAACCCCTGCTGATTTTATCTCTGTTCTCTTCTTTCTTTTTGTATAAACAACCCTCCGGAGTTCAGAATGTAAATATTTCCCTTGATAAATGCTTGATAAATGATAAATGCTACATGGAATCTATAGACAGAGAGGAAGTGTAACTTAAGAAAAGAATACTGACAGATTTTCAAAAGAAGGCTCTAGAGAATACAATTTTTATTTATAGAAAGCTTTCAAAACTTGCTTTACTGCTAGTCCATATGTCCTACAAATGCCTTACAAATCTGTCCACTGCTCATCTTCCCTCCCCAAATGTGGTAAACTCTTAACGCTCTACGCTCTTTCTTCTTCCCAGACTTTTATAATCTGTCCTCATTCAAAGCAAAAATCTCACCTCCCTTTCTTCGTAATCCCTCCTTCTTTTCCTCTGTTAAAACTAAGCTATAGGCTTCAGGGCTTTTCCCTAACATTATCAGCTAAAATGATATATTTCAAGGCAGTAGCAAATTTAAGAAACAATTAACACTTCATAGAGGAATTTCCAGCAATCTTTCATCGTGAATTATCAAAGCTTGGAAGAGCTTAACTGTATCTTACCTGATAATTGGAAATTAACTGGTATCTAAATTATACCATTCATTTATGTAGGATGGATGTTTCATTCGCACGAACAATTAGGAGAGAAAAATCAGAGGACGAAGGAGGCTGTAGACTGCCTGCAGAAGTCACTAGAACTAGATCCTTCCAGTGGATCATCCTGGTATTTTCTAGGGAGGTAGGCTAAACTAATGTTGTGTATAATATACACTATGTATTTTGAGTTTCGCTAAGCAGCATTTTCTCTGTTTAGAAAGTTTTAGATAGATATTACACATTACAACCAAACCATGCCGATCAAACCATGCTGGTCAAACCATGTCAATCAAACCATGCTGGTCAAGCCATGCCGGTCAAACCATGTCAATCAAGCCATGCTGGTCAAACCATGCCAGTCAAACCATGCCGATCAAACCATGCCGGTCAAACCATGCCGGTCAAACCATGCTGGTCAAACCATGCCGGTCAAACCATGCCGATCAAACCATGCCGATCAAACCATGCTGGTCAAACCATGTCAATCAAACCATGTTGGTCAAACCATGCTGGTCAAACCATGCCAATCAAACCATGCCGATCAAACCATGCCGATCAAACCATGCTGGTCAAACCATGTCAATCAAACCATGCTGGTCAAACCATGCCGGTCAAACGATGCTGGTCAAACCATGTCAATCAAACCATGCTGGTCAAACCATGCTGGTCAAACCATGTCAATCAAACCATGCTGGTCAAACACATTATCTTCTTTCTGTTTAATAGATCTATAATGTATCCTGCCAAACCAATCTATCTTTCTGGTATGTTTTGCATTTTCCTATTTTCCAATATAGACTATAAGCTATTTTGCATTGTGTTGATTTGCATTTATGTTTTTGCGACCCAGATGTTATTCACAACTTGGAAGAGTACACGAGGCCTTCACTGCGTACAGGCATGCAATAGACAAAGCAGAGGCTAATGCTGATACATGGTGTTCCATTGGGTGAGTAGATACATTTAGGAATTCAATCAGAAGTTCAGTAATTATCTGTCGAAAACATCGTTATTATCAAGCCTTCGGTTACGTTCACCATTGACACCTGAAACCATGTGTAGTTCTGATTGCTTGTCTGTGTACAGTGGCTCTTCTACGGGCACTAATAGAGGGCTGTTTTCGTTTATCTTTTTGTCTTTTCATAAGCAGGCACAAGTCACTATTCCCCGTCACTATCATGTTTACTCATTTGAGTGAAGTAGCTCAATTATTTGAGAACTTTCCGCCTAGAAGCATGTAGGTAAGCATGGTTTTTCCTGGCCTAGAAAAGACAGAAATCGGTATATTTTGTTTAAACTGTGTATATTTTTGTTCCAGAGTGCTATATCAACAGCAAAACCAGCCAATGGATGCCTTGCAAGCTTATATCTGTGCTGTTCAATTAGACAACTCGCATTCGGCCGCCTGGACGGACCTAGGGGTGCTATATGAATCGGGAAACCAAATCCAGTATGTATTTGCTGTTGGACTTTTGTCTTCTGCAGTTAGTGAAGAACACTTTTTTGTCATTTTTAAAAAAATTGGTAAAAAGTCAGATGCTAGAAGATTTAAAAAAAAATGATCTATCGGTGGGCTGAAAGCATAATATCACAAGCCGACCCTCGCACACTTGACCTCGAAAGTCTTATATTTTGGCACAGGAAATGAAAGAGAAATCGCCACCAAAATCAGAATCTCGGAAAAGTCACTGCGCTTACCCCAAGCTCGACTTCTGTCACAGACCCTGGTATATATTAGATGTTTCCAAAGCTTCAGGCCTATTTCGCTTCTTGCAAGATTTTTTGTTGCAATAAAGACAATAAAAACTGTGGCCAACACGCTCCTTTACTATGCTCTAGTATTCCTTTATTCGGAGCAATATGCTGTTGCTTAATAACCATATTTTAATTGCATGATCATTCGAGCGGTGACAATATTCTGTTCTTTCTCACAGAGATGCCATCATCTGTTATACAAATGCTTTGAGATCATGCGGTAAGGTGTCGTTTAATCGAATACTCTGATAATTCTCTGATGCTAACGTCATATGTCATCTTACCTGTTTTGGGGCTATGTAAATGGATACTCTGTCATGTTGGTTGCCTTTACATCATTTATTTTGCTTTAATCAGAGGCGAATCAAGCATTTGAAGCCCCTCATAGTGTAAGAGTTAGAATGCAAGGAATAGAAAGCGTTTTTGAAACGACTTTGATGCTAATTATAAGTCTCTTAAGTGACAATAGAAAATCTTCCATTCGGTCTAAAAAGCAAGTTGTACCTTCTTTCAGTAATTTTCCTGTCTTCTGTCAATTTTTCCCAAACGCATTTATGATAGATGTTCATTAGTTACCAGGTTTTCTAAATCTTGTCAAAAGATTTCGTGCCTCAGCTTCATACACGTAAAAGATTAAGATTAAAATAGTTAGAATAGTTTAAAGTTACCGTATTCAAGTTTATGGTCATGTTTCTCTTTCACAGGAACTGCAAATCCGAGCTTAGAGAGTCGAATGAGGTATTTGCAGAGTCAGATGACAAGTCACCCGGCCCCCGATGCCGCCAAAAAGTATGCCCAAGTTCGTTTTTCTTCCATACAAGGAGCATTATTAAAGTTGTCAATGTTTATCGAATTTTTGACGTTTGTACCTTAATTATTTCACTTTTACTGTGACAGTATTAGGTGCATTTTATAATGTTTGTTCAGTAAATTGACGTAAAAACATTTTCCAGTTTAAGTAAGTGTTTTCGTTAATTTCTTGTAGGAGTCTACCAAACATTGAAGAAGCTTGGAAGTTGCCAATACCAGCTGAACTGACAACCAGAACTGTCCGCCTTGTTCAACAGGTAAGGGCGAGGATGTATCCAAGCCAAAAGATCTTGGCTATTTTTCTAAAGTATATCGGTGGTACTATGGTGATGACCTTGTTCGTTTGAAGTGTTTGATAGCATTGAGTGAGAGCAAGGCCTCTTGCACAAACAATATATGCATATGCATAAACATGATATGCATAAACAAGTGGGAGCAAGGCCAAGTGATTGCACAAACAACCGAGAGCAAGGCCAAATGGTTTTGTTTATTGTCATTAGGTATCCTCCGTTTTCGTGCGTTGCTGTCTCTCTTTAGGCTCTATTACTGTATCTTAATTTTACCTACTGGCCAGTTTGTTTTATTACCTTTATTGATATGCTAATGAACAACCTTGTTTGCTTTTCAAGGCGCGTATCAATCAACAAGCAGCTTTAAGCCTTCAAAACCAAAGCCAAACTCAGCCGCCTGAAGGAGAAAACAAACAAGCTCAAGCCACCAGCATGGCCTCTGAAATGGCACCGAGGCTGAATCCACAGCAGCCCGCTTTTGCGGCTGGGCAGCCAATTGCCTCGCTACCACATGACATGAACTCAGCAATCCCCCTTGGGCATGGCCAGACAAATTTGAATGGCTCGCAAAAACTCAATGAAAAAGAAAAACTTAGCAAGTCACTTCCACTCGAATCTGTCAATTTAAATGAAACGTGGAATAAATCGTCACAATCACATTTAGCCCATCAAAATAACAATCCAATTTTTGCCTCACATCTTACAAGAAATGGAGGAGAGCAGACCCTCAATGCTGTCAACGGTCTAGGGAGCCAATCAGAGTTCAGCAACTATCCAACTACATCATCAATGGTGTCTCCACTACTCTCTCCTAAAGTGTCCCATATCAATGGAGGTGTCCCGAGCTATCAGCAGCCTCTGTCTATAACGAACCCTTCCAACGTGCTTTTGTCACCTGGCGTGGTCTCGCCCAATCTGTTATCGCCTCATCAGCCACTGCTGTCACCAAATACTCCTAAAATTGGAGCAAACACTAATGGCTTCAAAATACCAAAGATATCCCTGCTTTTCAATCCAAAGGAGGTACCAAGGGCTCCCCCTCCACCACAGCCACAGTTACCAATTGAAAAGCTTTCACCACCAACACCCAGCATAACCGTAAGTTTTCCTGTGTGTTTTATCAGTTAATTTACGTTGCATTTAGAGTCTTCAAACATTGCTAAGTTTTGATAAGTATGATTTTAGAGAATCACACGGTTGATGCCCTCAGTGTTATTGTCTGTTGTATGTTATAGTGTTTCCCTGTCTATAATAATTTCACGCTGTTTAGCTCTTTTGAAACCTGATTTAGAAATCTGTCAGAAGTTTACCTGCAGGGGCTTCCAATGTCTGGAAAACCTAGCGCAGATTTTACCTTCGAAGGACCACTTTTAGAAGATCATAAGCTCCAAATGTACTGTAAGATGCCTTTGTTACTTTAAAGATTGGGTCTTATGATGTTTGAAACAATTATTTGCCAAAGGTCGAGTCAAGGAAAGATGCTATGTCAGTTGCATTGAAAAGATTTTGCATGGACCCCAACAATCCAGTGACTGTTATCAGAGGCATTTGTGAAGCTTTAAAAATAGGTAAGGTATTATTTTGGGTTTTTCTTAATTTCGAGATTGCCTTGATTGCTCTTATAGGTTTATGGGGAATCAACATCGTTGTGAAAACTTGTTTCATTATTATTAACAAGGAGATATTCTCGCTGTCACCATTCACGAAGGAGAAATTTGATTACGACATAAAGTTGGTCCCGTTAAGTCGGACCTTCAATAAGTCGTTAAATAAGGAAATGGTCGGATTTATCTAAGAAGCCAAATTAATTTTAAGGAGACCCTAGAAACATACTATAGTCAACGACTTTTAGCAAAGTCAATAAAAAAGTACTTAGTGTCATACCAAATCTACGCTCTGCTTTCATTGTTCTTCGATGGAAGGTTTCAGATTTTAGGGGGATGTTACCAGGAGGACAGATGACTGCTTATTTGGATCCTGTGTTTAAGTTTAGCAGATTATTAACTTTGAATCCATAGCAAAGATCTGTATATCATGATTTTTTGTGTCGCAGATTTGAGCTTATTCACTACAAAGAGACTTGTGGACGACCACCCAGATTTCACCGTGGAAATCAGACATCAGGTATTTATACATAAATGTTAAAGACTCGGGTTTAAAGGCATGCTCCAAACTGAATCATGCTCTTGAATCATCACCAGTGATCACCTGTCACCCTCATTATGAAATCTGCAATCGTAATTAATCATCAGTGGGCGTTTTGGGCCAGGTTCCATGCTCTTTACTTTAAACCTTACATGCTCCGCAGGGCTTATGTCTTTTGTCATCTCTTCCATTGGTCACCATGTCCATATTTCTTTCTCTAGCGACAGCAAGCACCTGACGAGAACTGGGATGCTGAAGGAACTAAGCAAGTTTGGTACTGTGAAAGTAGCAGGTAAACCTTGTTGAATCTAGTTAGTTAGGAATACAATGCCCGTGTCCTTATTGAAAACAATTGTAGTGTAACACGGCCATTAGATTTTGTTCTTCTTCTGTCCCAGATTTGTTTAACCTCTTTCAATTTTTGTTGTGAAGGATGTGAAATGAAATGCTTGAATTTCACTTTTGTCATTTTGCATCTGTGAAGTTATAAAAGTTATTGTGAAGATTTTGCTCTCCCTTTCTGAAGGTCTTCGACTACAATTGCTAAATATGCAAAATACCAAGCCAAGTCTTTCAAAGAACATTACAATGTAAGTATGTGCACATGCTTCTGAAATTCCAAAACCCTATTTGCCAATTGCTATTCAGCTTTGATAAATATAAATTTCCCTAGTTGTTGTAATACATCCCGTGATATGAAAATGCTTCTTGCTCCATTCATAGCAATGCTTCTTCTTTTCCTCAAGAATTGCTCCTGGCTTTTATTAATATTAATCATCTAACAGGAATCATAACATCTTTTTCAGGAAAACAAAGACGGAGCAAACTTAACAACAGACAGTGATTCTTCTTCGGGGTAATAATATTTATCGAAGCTAAATTTAAATATGTATACACTCAATGAGCAAAAGTATTGCATAGGTTGAAACAGAAATGGCGGCACTGCAGCAAAATGTTTTAACAAACCGAATTTCAAGTGGCAATAGCAAGTTTCGTAAATGTTATAAGATGATTTTTTATTTGGAATATATTGAAAAATTTATCAAGGTTTGATGCTGAAAATAGTAAATGAAAGGATATTCTTGATTTTTGCTTATTTCTAAACAATATCGACATTTGCAAAAACACAAAAATTGGGCCATGATGATTGAAGTACCTATGAAATATTTGCAATAAACAAGTTCATTTTGCACCAATTTGCAGTATCGATTTGCCTAATGGCAGCGGTCACTTTGTGATATGTTAAAGCAGTATTCAATCAATGAAATAAGTCCCAAATCGTCAAGTCCATCTTTTCCAAGTGATTGCGGTGTTCGTAATCAGTTCGTAAATAACATTTCATCCTCTCATTTAATGAAAATACCAAAATTCCCGCGATAAACAAGTTCACTAAAGTGCTTCAATAGCTGTTATAGAGTGGGCTTAATAAAATGGCTTAAAATATGCCACTTTCCACCAAATACAAGGCCATTAATGATCAATTTGGTACTCCAACACCTAATTGTGATCTTGCAAATGTTTTTATACGTATCATGTCGTATATCAAAGCTGCATCTTATTGCAACCTTTGGTATTTGAGCAGAGGGATTTGAAGCTGCATTTTAAAGTCAAGGCTATGTTTAGTTGAAGATCAGTCTATTTTGCAGCGATTTCTTTTAGCTTTAAAATACTCCGTTACTTTGATTGGCCCTTATCGCACTGAAAGAGGCAAACAATCAAAAATTGAATTAAACTGTTGACTTTTTAATTTTTATTTTTGATTTTTCCAGCGACCGAAAGTTGAAGAAATCTGGTAACTTTACTATGATTAAATTCGGCACTAATGTGGACCTCTCGGACACTAAAAAGTGAGTAACTAACATTTGTTAAATTGCTTCAATTTCCCTATCTCCTCGTTTCCAAGCAGCTTGCGATGTCATTCTTCTCCAGTTGGTCGAGGGTATATCTTTGGCACTAGATTCTTTGGCTCATTTTAGCACATTTGGGGTTTTCTTTGTTTCAAGATTTCAGAAGCTCGAAGAAACCAACCTTTGTTTGTTAGTGTAGAAACGACTTTGTGCCAAACTGAAATTCCTCGCACTTGATAGATGTAATGGAAGCTGATGACTCAAATTTGGTCGTTGGAAGATTTCTTATCGGCATAATGGCTTCATTTCTCGTTTTAGATGGAAACCACAATTGGCAGAACTTGCAAAGCTTCCCCCTTTCATGAAGGTACGTTGTTATCTAAATGCTTAGTTACCATAATGTGTTATTTAGTCAACACAATTTGCGGACCGTAAGAGGGAGAGAAATGCGATTACACACAAGATAGTTGGAATGTGTATAAGGCTTTTCGTTTTATCAATTACATAAACAACATTGTGAGGGAAAAACTGTGATTTGACTCTCAAACCAGCTTTTTATCAATGCTATCAATAATTTTTCCCAAATTCTGACCTTAGCTAGATATTCAGTTTTCTTACAATAAAACGCTTTCATGTTTTATATATCTCATCTCTATGCAAATTATTCTTCCTAGGTTGTTAGCGGATGCAACATGTTAAGCCACGTGGGACATAATGTTCTCGGAATGAACACAGTACAGCTTTACATGAAAATTCCCGGATGTCGAACCCCAGGTAATGGGCTATTTTAGTTCACTTACGGACATGACATGTGGCAGTGCTAGCCCAATGAGAGCTTTGTCTGATGCTGTCAAAGAAATCCCCTAAGTGTTGTTTTCATTCGTTTTGTAGGCCATCAGGAGAATAACAATTTCTGTGCGCTTAACATTAACATTGGACCAGGTGACTGCGAGTGGTTTTGCACTCCTAAAGAGTATTGGGGAGTTGTCCATAATCTCTGTGAAAAGTAAGTTCAAAAATTCATTTTTTTCTATTTCTATGTAATGCTACTAGTTTATGTTATATTTTTGTATGACTGCGTATCCAAAGGTCAAGGCACCAGTCACTGTGCAATAGTAATCTCTAATTAGTTATTTTCAAATTAACGTCTATCGCTTAACTGTATAAAAGTCCATCAAGGCAACATTTCCTTTCTTCCAAGATAAATGACATTATTTTCTTTCTTGCAGGCATAATTTAAACTTCTTAGTAGGTAAGTCTAAAGCTTCACTAACTTTTAAAGGCATTGAGTCATGGTAAATAGGCTTTCTCTATAGGGGGTCATTTGGTTTCGGCGTGATCGCTGCTGTTTCATGTGATATTGGCATCCGTTGTTGACAACTTGCTATTGATGGAAACTGTTATGTTAATCAGTACGAGGTGAGTTCATGAGACCAGTTCAAGGTCAACCAATAGCATCGCAGTCATGGAAATCATGACTCAGCGGATTTTGGCACTTAGGGTATACCCAGTCTATTTATCATGACTCAATGCCTTTTATTTTTCGTGTTACTATACGCCGGTTTGAATTTTTTATGAATATTTTACCATGAATGATGTATATTCCACTATTGGGATTATCTCCTTTCTCAATTGGGATTTGATGTATAACAAGTTGAGTTTTCTGTGATTTTTATGATTCTACGATTTTGAGCGTCTTACCAGGAACTCCTTGGTTTGAGTGTCTTGAACATTTGCAATCTTTCTGTGAAATCTTTCTTTCATTCTCCCCGAAACACTTCCACAGAAAAGCATCGGAAGCATATTTTTACTTCCACTCTCACTGATCAGATGTCCTTATGCAGAAATGTAGATACAACTCACTGCTTTTAGTTCCTCAAAAATTCTCTGAAATTTTCATTAACAGATACTTAGTAATCATAGTAGCCCTTTTCATGAATACTAATAATTTGATTGTTATTGCAATCAGGATCGTGGTGGCCTAAGCTAGAAGAATTATACGAGGAACGAGTACCTGTGTACAGGTTCATTCAGAAACCCGGAGAACTTGTCTGGCTAAATGGCGGCAATGTACATTGGGTGCAAGCCTTGGTAAGCACCCCTTTTTACTTATTGATTTTGTTGATTCCCTAATGGAGATGTTGATGCTAAATGAGTACTGCTGGAATAACCTCCAGCCCGATTTGAAAAGTTGATTTCGAATTAGATGTGTTACAAACCGTTGTAAAGAAAAACTGGCATTGAGTTGTAGCTTCTCTCACAGTCAAAAATGCCTTGTTCTGCTCTTTTGTTTTTTGTGTAGGAATAAATTTTCAGTACAGTATGAACGGATTCAGATAATAAAAAACTAAAGTTTTTGGAAGTGACGGCGGGAGGTTATTGTGGTTTTGATATCGTGAAGATTTTAATAGTAGTAGATGGTCCGATAGTAGATGGAGGGTCAGTAAGGCTTTACACCATCCTCTCATTTGTGGTTGGGAAAGTTTCAACGAAAACGTATTCTGTTCCAGATACATATTAATAATTAAAATATGGTTTTCTTTATCGCAGGGCTGGTGCAACAATATTGCTTGGAATGTCGGTCCACTAACGGGTAAGGCCACCGTGCAAGTTTTTAATACATTGAAATTTTCTGTTTTATGACAGTAACGAATTTTTATGGAAGGAATTTCAATGCCTTAATTCTTTTTTATTTTTAGAACACCAGTTTAACTTGTCAGTTGATCGTTATGAATGGAACAAATTACAAGGTAACTTAATAAAATTAACATATGCGTAAGAGTAATTTATGCGTAAGGATAATTAATGCGTTAGAATAGTGAAAATTATAAAAATCGTCTCACATATGTTAAACGTACGAGTGTCAAACAAGTTTTGGTTCCTTGTGATTTAAAGTTCAAAACAGAATGTTTCTTTTATACAGTAACCAATGACGTAACAATTTCACGGTCAAATGTTTCCTTTATTAAATATTCATGTAATCTTTTAAAGACACATGCCATCATTTGTTGGCGTGAATTTTTTTTATAGATACACAGGTTTGTGAATCATTGTTTTATTTTAGCCGTTAAGTCAATCGTCCCGATGTTGAATCTCACTTGGAACCTTGCGCGTAATGTCAAACTGAGCGAGCCCAAACTGGTGGAGCATATAAAGTGAGCCTTCGAAATATTATATTTATCTACCATTATTCTAGGACTCGTTTGAGAATTTTTTTGTTGATAGAAGGGTAGGCCAATCGAAATTGAAACAACAGTCAGGTGCCTAATATCCCATCTCTACGGCCCTTGCACAGAGGTCTAAAATTTCAATAACAAATCTTTCTAACCAACCTATGCTTCGTAAAATTTAATCAGAAGACGCCAGTTACCCAAGACTAACATGTTGGTATAGTTTTGTGTTTATAATTCCCTTTTTATTGTACCTTACTAATTGTACGAATATAAGAACTACCTTGTACTTAAGAAGTAGAAGTTTTTATTCAATATGCTTAGTCAGTTCACAAGAACTTTATGCTGGATTTTTTCTTTGTATCACAGATCGCTGCTAGAGAGATCACTCAGTTATTGCGAAGTTACGATAGAAATTTTAAAGCAATCAGGAATCGAAATTGTGTTTCATGGTCGAGAAAAGAACGAGGCGGCACATTATTGCTCTACTTGCGAGGTAAGCATTTTCTATACGCCAAAACCTATGCAGCGAAATGCCACATGCTTGATATTTATATGGAGTTTTGAACATGCAATTAACAAATAGTGGTCTTGTTGCATTGCTTTTGGATTTTTGGCAACTTTTATCATCTCTTTCGGCCATTAATATATTGGCTTTTATTAATCAGCAATTGTGGTTTCTGTTGATCGACATATCCTACCATGGTTTGCACTTGTCGCTATGCCATATGTTTCCTAGTATTCTGTGTTTCTAGATTTTAATTTTTATACCTAACGCTTTGTGAGCTACATGAAAACCGTTCGGCTTTTGAACAGTTCAGTTATCGCAGCATCCCTTTTCCTCGAACTCATTTCAGGTTGTTAATTACAACTTCCTTTTCCCTTACCAAAGCAGGTTACAAAACGATCGTAGCTGACACTAATGTATTGAACTGAAGTTAAATAGACCCTTTTTCCCTTTTTTTAAAGGTTGAAGTGTTCAATCTGCTGTTTGTGAAAGAAATAAACCGAAAATTAATGGTTCATTGTCAAGACTGCGCAAGAAAAACAAGTGCGACGTTAGACGGTTTCAAAGTTTTGAATCAGGTATTCTTCAGATATAATCATTTAACAAATATTGTTTTCTGTCATTCGTCCTTCTGATTCTAACTTAGTTCTTAGAACTTAGTTCTTCCAGGCTAATCTTAGCTTGGTGATGAGAGAAAAAAGAATGCGGTTAGTTTAATGAATACTGCTATGTAAGTCTACATATTGCAATACAGTAAATACTTGTAAAGAGGAGCCTTTCAAAAAATGTTAGTTTCTTTTAAAAGTGCCAAGTGACATAGTTGGGTCTTATCAAACAAGCTCATATCTAAAATTTTGACAGTGATGCCTGGCAATAGGGGTGCCTCATTACAACAGACTTTTCAAGGGACCATGTCCTATTTAATGAAACCTAATGGCTTGCCATACAATACGAGATTCTTTAACACAAGGTTCATATTAAGACCTCCTGTGGATCCCTAAATCTTTGCGTTCTTTTTTGCCGTAGCCTTTTCGCTTAGGTTCCTAATCTATTGATTGAAACGCAGTGCCAACATTTTAAGTGCTCTGACATAAAGCCCCGTTTCTCCACTGGAAATGTGATCTGCTAATTCCTCTATGTTTTGTTTTTAATTTTGCTTTTTTTCTTGCAGTTCACGTTAGAGGAATTGAGAGAGGTTTTCGCCAATTTTTGCAACAATTCAATGCAGAGTCAGCATCTCGCCCCGCAGCCTATTTCATCTTAGCGACCAAAAGGTTTAAGTAAACGAAAACATTTCAATTCTAACTTTATGGACTGATAAAAACGCTTTTAAAGAAGTATTCTTCAACGGATGCCGTAATTTGCTACGATTTGGATAGCTTTTGACAATTCAACTACGCTTTTTATCTTTGTATATTTCAATGTAAATAAAGATCATGCGATTGTCAGTTGACATTGGTTGCTGCTAGGACCACATTAACCCCTTTTGTGGCTGTAGGCCCAATGTTGGAGGTTCCCAGAACTTCTCTTTTTCAATTACCAGATAAAGTATATATCGGAAGATGTTCAAATGTTTAATCACTTATAACTAGGCAACCATGTTCTTCAGATCTCATTCTTAAGGCAAGACTTGTAGGACCTTGTGTTGACACTTTTTTCTGTGTTGTATTGAAGCATGCCTGTACAGATGGTTCATGCTCTGAGTTTGTTTGTAGTTCCTTCCTGGCAGATTTGCATTGTTCTACGCCCAAGGGCTCTTTGAACACATCTTTTGGCTCCTATGGCCTGCAAGTCGTTTACAAATGATACTTATAAACTAGTGTCCGTTGGACTTCTCCTCTGCCACACTGCAGTTTGTTATTTAGTGTCTGGTCGATATATTTTATTTCATTTAGCAACCAATGACAACTTTCAACAACTTAATGTTTATGAATAAATTTCAGGTCAGTGCTTAAAGGTTTTGTGGATATTTTTTGTGTCAGTTGCGTAATATGATTATCATTTAAATGTTGTGAACTTAAGCCATGTTCAAACGCGCAAAACATTCCAGCCCCCATTGCCAGATGGTGCGGAGAAGCTAGTTCCATGTCAGTTAATTAATATAGATTTGTCTGACAAATCCTGACTGCTTTTTTAAAAATGTTTTTCGATTTCCTACATTCCTTTACGAGCATCTAAACTTTTCATCTTTTTTAAATGGATATCCACCCTCCCGAATCCATGAATGGCCTGCATGAATTAATTAACATCACTTACTATGCTCCAATGGCGATGCGCTTGTTCTTGTATCTGATTTCCAAAATCGCTGTTTGAACCTGGCTTTCTTTCCTTAGTTCTAATTCCTAATGATGCTCTTCGTGTTCTTTTGATGATTAATGCGAACTCATATGCACATTTTGGGTCTCCCCCTTCCAATTTTTACCTCTGATGAATAATCAGAATGGTAGTCTCACAGTATAATGAAATTTAAACCAACAGTTTAAGCATAACTTGAATAACAGCAAATGTGTTCGACTATGGAAGTGCGATGTGATTGATAAATGAGTGTGAGCTCTGCCTTCCTGTTTGTTTCTTCATGGGAACAAAGGGAATATTTATAAACTATTTGTATCAATGCGAGCAAAGAAGACATTAAGAACAAACGGGTATGATCAGAACACCTACCCTTATTTAGAAATGAGGGAAGGTATTTCTGTTCTGTTTTGTTATTAATTTGGGCTGTTTCGTTTTATTGAAGCAAAATTCTTATAGTATTTAAGGCGATTTCTGTCAAAACAATTGCAAAGTATGTATTTGAAGAGTTTTTAATTTGGTTCATATTAATCTTCATTCACTCAAGAAACCTTTGCTGACACTCTACTCCTGTACGTTTCTGCTGTTTGTCGAAAATACGGTCAACTTCGCATTCATCCAGGACCGCATTTACGTCTGTTGGGGCCCTGGGCCCAATCAACCAACTATAAGACACGAATAAACTTGTATCCATTTCGCATTTTAGTGCATTCCCAATCAAACGAACCAACTGCTGAAAACTTTTCGATGATTTTATTGGGGAATAAAACTCCCAGGATATCAAAATCTGCTGCCATTTAACATAAGGAAACAATGCGCTACTGTGTTATTGTGGACCTGAATTCACACTTTTTATTTACCCTTTTCAGCTTGGTGAAACCTTTTCCCTCGGAGAAACCTCTGTATGGCAAATTGAGCAAAAAAAATAAATGCAGTCATTGCATTGGGGAAAGCTCCAACCGAGACAAGCGAAAATTTCAAAAGCCCTGGGGTAAAAACAAAATTTGAGGCCCCCTGCAAGCAAAGCGAGCAGAAAATTTCAAAAACAAGATTGAAATCAAGAGCATTTTAAAGGCTTTTGAAATTTTGCATTGGGCCCCCCAAAATAGAAGAATTTTAGGGGGCCCATGGATAAATGCGTCACTGGATTCATCTCGTTTTAATCAAGTCACATTTCGTGTCAAATCTGAAATTCGAGTAAAATCGAAGGCCTTAGTTTACATTTTTAAGAAACTGCGGCGCGTTCAGAAATTGAAATTGTTAAGCATGGCTTGACGAGTTTTTGTGTCTTCAGGCGGGTTTCCGCTTTATTCGCTCTGGTCGCGCGATTGAGCGAATGCACATTGGGACATGCGCAAATTGAACTTCCACGTTTGCTGCGAATGCGCGACCTTTCGCTGAGTAGTTCAACCAAGGTTCAACTCAGTTGAACTACTAGTCGACTGGTCGCGTTCGCCGATTCGCTGAGGTGTTGATTCAATTTCGCCAAGTCGCGCGACCAGAGCGAATCAAGTGGAAACCGGCCTTTCAGTTCCTTTTCCGGAACGCCAACCTGAAACGAGTTTTTCTTTGAAAGAAGATGGATGAGCGGTCATTAGTTAAGATCTGTTTCTTCCAAGAAAGCGAAGTAAAATGCTAACAGATTGGAGCATGCAACAATGGCCAGTTGTTAAAATTACCCAATGATTTAAGCTTATTTACTATTTTAAAACTGCGGCTAGAAAGCGCAGGGTGGTGCCAAACTCAAAAATTTCGTTCCTTTTTGATCATCTCGTTCATTATACTCAACTTCCTATTGACAATCTTTCTCCTTTTATATCTATGCTCTAGCATTGCATGATATTACGAAAGTTTCTGAAAATCACTCTAATTACACGATATTCTGATTACCTGAAGGCCTATTTCCACTTGATTCGCTCTGGTCGTGCGACTTAGCGAAAACGAATTAACAAATCCGCGAATCGGCGAACGCGACACGTCGCTCACTACTCGGCGAATGATCGCGGCGAATGAGTGAGTTTCTAAACATTGTCATTACGTCATTCTTGTATAAATACCCTCAGAATCAACAGTGCAAGCAACGACAGATTTTTTGGGTTGTGATGTAATAAAATCTATGTTTAGAAATTTTGAATTTGGATCCCTTTACCTGAAAGATATCGTGAAATAGCTCTAAGTGTGCAAATCAATTAATTGTGTCACGAATTGGCAACAGCAGAACATAACAAGATTGGTAAGCGTGTGAAAACAGTAGAGAAAATCTAATGAAATCAAAGGAGCGTACAAGGCACATCCCGGAACATTTACCAATCGGCTGACAAGGAACTCCCGCCGTAAAGTTTCGATTGTTTTATAGTTACAACATAGGATACGGCGAAAATTTTCCTGTGAATCGCTACAAAGCTTGACATTTCAGTTGATAAGTTCAAATTGATTTGACAGGCTGATGACTGGATGAGACTCAGCTAAATAAGAAATATGTGTCCTTGATTTTATAATACCAATTTTGCCTGACTAAGATCAATGCAGTTTAATAGTTGATCATAAGATTTTTAAACATGGAAGGTCCCTGTTAAGAAAAAGTTCTCGTGTGTCAAATTGACTAATCAAAGTCTCTCAGTGTCATAAAACACGTTATTGAAATTATATGAAATATCTCATGCAAAATAACTAAAATTTGTTGCAAATTTACTGAGATATAACGAGAATCTGCCTGGCTTTGTTTGGTGTGAAATATGTAAGAATACGATAGATCTAAGCAGTGCCTTGCCGGTACGAGAATGTTTAACTGATCAGTAAAACGAAAGATAACTTTCTTAATAAAAGTTTCTTGAATAAATGTTTGAGTGGTTCTGTTTACATATTGAGTAGTCAAAAAGAGAGATCCCTTGCCTGCAAACTTGGGGGATTCTCTTCTCTTGGAATATTGAAGGCCTCCTGCACCACAGTTGGTCTCTTCCAGCAGTTATGATTTAAGGAAACGACACTTTGAGAAAGCGCTCAACGACACGTTGATATTCAGAGATAATTTAATGTACTAAACACAAAGCCTTCTTCCAACGCGCTTATAATTAATATTGAATACACAAAACTTAACACAAACAAAATCTGTTACGCTCTAGCTTAAAGAGGGTGTCTCAACAGAACTTTGTAGTCAGTGGACTCAGTGGACTCAGAACTCAGTGGCGGATTTAAGGGGGGGCAACTAGGGGCAGTTGCCCCTCCCTCAACGAGTTGAAGCAATTCTGGCGCCCCTCTTTTGGAAATTGTGCGCCCCTTTTGAAGCATGAGAATCAGATGAAAAATGTTTTTGGGCTGATAGGTTAATTTGCTTCAAGGGTTACCTCAAAGTTATGTTGTTTATTCTGAAAAGGTATCTGAAATTGTTGTATACAACGTACTCTCGTAACCAATTTTTGAAAATGTTTCAGCGCCCCAGCTGCTCTGGATCCGCCCCTGTGTATTCTTGCACCAAAAGTTTATTTATGTATAACATCATCAAATGCACAATTACACTGGTATGCGACTGAAATGGTCAGATCACGTTGATGTTTGGTTTTTTTGCTCAATTTTTCAAACTTTTTTCGATAATATCATCAGGTTTTAAAAATTCCAAGGTTGAGCTTTTGCTGACCGTGCATTTTTCACGCTTCAGTAATGTGACCTTTGGTCATTTGCCAGAATGTTCACAAGGCTTAAAATGATCGCGGTTTAAACTTTAAAAATTTCGGTCAGGCAGGTTGTTACATGGTTTCAGAAAATCCCTGTCTAAAAATAAAACAAAATATCCGGCTATTTCCTTTAGTCATTTTAACCCGAACCAAGAAACCTAAATCCGGATATGACACTTTCTTACTTTCTGTTGTTTAAATACAACAGCTGTTACGAGCTCGAGGGTTCTCAAAAGAGAAAGTTTGTGTTGGGACTCAGTCATGTCTTCCGACTGCGGCTTGGATTCAAATGCAACCATTCGTTTCTCGCTGTCGTTAATGGACAAAGCACTGGTGACTTCAACGCTTTCCATACTCGCATTTTTGTGCATAACTTCAAATTTTCTTGTCTGCTATATAATTGCTACTCGAAGGACAACGAATTCAACAGCAAGGCTGTACGTCTTCTCCTTGGCATTAACTGATGTTATGGTTGGACTCTTCTCCATACCTTTCTTTATCCTGCTGTTTATGACTAAGTCCGACCCTGGAGAACAAGCCCGTGCTTTACAGTCGGTATTCACTGTAGTCGATTTAACTTTGCAGTTGGCCTCCATCACACACTTATGTATGATGAGCGTTGATCGAGCTTTGGCTGTAGTCAAGCCTTTCTACCACAAGAAAGTTGTGACGAAATCAAAAGTATTAAAATCATTAATTATTCCTTGGACAGCAGGATTTTTAAGTGGAATTAGCTACTTGTTTTTGCCACAAAGTTTGCTTGCGTTCTTTGCTTACTTTATGGTCATTGCTGGGCTGTTTTATGTTTTGCCAATCATCATAATGATAATTTGCTATGCTTGCATATTCAAGGCAATAAGGACCAGGAACAAATCAAAGGTTGGAGAAAGAATAAACGAATTTAGACTCGCCAGGACCATCCTAGTCATCATCTTAACGTTCGGCGTCTGTTGGACGCCATTGACAATTCATAGTTACTATAACATTTTCAAAGTTTTCATGACTTGCTATAGACACGAGTTTAGCTGGGTGGATGTTCTTATCAAAGCCATTAATTACTTGAACTCGACATTAAACCCGTTTATCTACGCCATACTCCATCCGCAGTTCAGAGTAGGATTTTGTGAGTTGTGCAAACGTCGCAGAAAAACCTTTACCCATGCGCTAACAAGTGGTGATCACCATGTAACCCAGCTTTGATGGACGAAACTTTTAATACAGAATTGAAATAAAGCTACACGGAAGAGTTTTAAGGTGGCACACCCTTGTTGTCAAATGAACCAAGGAGACAGTTTTAAGAAAATGCGAGCTTAATCTTCAGCAGCTGTGTTTCTCTTTTTGTTATATTTCTGTTGTAAATTAGCCTTAATCTCAAACTTTGATTATTATTTGTAGAATCACGGGTTTTTTGTATTGATTGTTCTCTTCAAAAATTAATAAGCTGAATTTTCTAATATACTTATGAGGCTGTGATAAAAGATGGCCTTTTTGTTTACTCTGCAACCCGTTGGTAAACAACCAGAAGGTTTACAATACTCTCCTTTTACATAAATTTCAAAGCCCTTTGAAGATGAAACTGAATGTACTGTATTAATCGGCCATCAACTGAGTATTCTTTTAGTCAACTAATTTTTTTAGCTTGCCAATCTTGTCAGGAATAAAATTCGGTTAGCAAAAGATTTTCTGTCCATTAGAGACAACAGATAAGGGTAATGGTTTGAAAATACTCGCAGCAACAAAATTAACTGAAAATTAACTAGTTGGTACTGCAGTGGCAAAACATGAAGTACATTAAGGGTTGACAGAACTCAGTTTTCATTGGTTTGCACGTAGAACTACACATCCATATTCATAAATACATAACAAACAAGCAACATAACAAGTAATCTGTTACTCTAAGCAAACGAGCTGCATGGAATTGTATGAAATACTTCGATCCCTTAATTAGACAGTAGATGCAAAGAGACATCACAACCATTTATCAAAGCTGACCCCTTAATAAGGGTAAAACGCCCCTAATTCAATTTCATATCACAGAATCTTAAGAAGAAAACATATTGCTGAACCCCATGAGTTGCACAGGGTTTGTTTTACATCTCGGGTCATTGCATGTAATACCGCTCTATTAAGCCCCCTGGGGCTAATTTATTTTTTTCAGTCCTAGAGGGGGGGCTTAAAAGAGAGGGGGCTTAATAGAGCTTTTACAGTATATGATTAATTGATTTGAAAAACTTTAATCCTATGTCAGTTTGATCATATGACAAATAACTAACTCGCATGAGCTACTGAATGACAATGAAATTGCAGCGTATGGGATTTCTTTTCTTTTTCTTTCAATTGGGGAAGGTAACTCTATATTCTTTTTATCGCTGAACAAACATGGTGAATTTTGGAATAATTTTACAGCGAGATGATCCCATCTCTATCAAATCTTGTTTCATCCAAAACTTGCACGCCTTTTGACAACTAGAATTGATTCGAAAACCCTATTAAATAACTGTAAAATCGCAAATTTTGCTCAATACATTGTATGAATGTTCAACATCGTTCTTGTTCATTGGCTGTTATATTTACAGCATGATGTCAGCAACTGTGATATTTTCACCACGAATGTCATTCCTTTGGAACTGAAAGAAGACAATGTCATGTCATCGTGTTATTCGGCCAATCAACAACTGCAGCCTCCTTCTGACTGACTATGCTCCTGTGGCGTGTCCTTTAGTTTTACTTCAATCATGTCCTCTTTTTTCTCTTGGGTATTTTCCATGCCAGGCAAAGCTGCAGCTACCTTCCGAAATAGCTAAAACACAGAGATGTTGCATGCAAATGAGTGAAAAATCGCGAGTAGGCTGTGCATGCTGTTCTGACAACGATGGATACTCTGTATAACAGACGTTCTATCATACAAATTATAACATACAATTTGCTTTTTGTGATATGATCAATCAAAACAAATAGCATAACTAGCGGACAAAATTAAACATTGTTTCTTCAAAACCGCCAATAAAACAAAAGATCAAACCAAATGTTACCGGGTGAAATTAAAACTTCTTTGTCTGTGAGGGAGCCCTTTTATTAATTTCGTCTTTCAAATAAAGGCATCAGAAAAGAGGCATTTTCAGCTTAGACCACACCCAATTGTATGCTTTGAAATACCCCATTAACAATGGGCTTTTGCGAGCGTGGCGATGATCTAAACAATGGCAGTAAACTTCTACGGATTAACCAAAATTGATTTCAAACTGTCTAAAAATGCATTATGGGATGCTTGCGTAGCGCAATGGCTCATTGTTAGCAATGAGTCTTTAAATAGATCACAGAGGTTTATTGGCAAAGGATTTCAGAAATGCTCGAGCATGTTTGCTCAATGTAAACATTCTGAGCAGGAGGCTACAATGTTGTTATTACATCCCTTCATGTTGTTGGATGTTTGGAGCATCAATGCATTGGCTTTCTTTGCGCATGCAGAAAAATATGACACTAACTGGAAAATGAAATTGTTAAAGGTTGGACAAAGTTAAATTAATGATCATAATTAAGCCAATTGATTGAAAATCTTGCTAGATGAAAAGTGCAGAAGCAAAAAGAGGGAGGGTAACACCCTGTTTCTGGAGCCAGTCCAGTACAAGTGCAGATTGAGGGGCTGTCATCTAGCTCAATCTCATTGTTTGTGTTGGGAGCACATTTTGATACTGTTTTGGTCATGGAGAACAAATTTCTCCAACCTTGGTAATGGGCTGTATTCCTACTCCAAATTCTCATGAACAAGCTTCAAAGAGCCAGTCAATTAAGGAGATATCATGATGTATACACAAGGGAAGTTGCTACCTGTTTAAAAATTGTTTAAAATATCAAAAAGGCTTAAAAGTTGCTACCTGTTTAACATTATGACCAGCTTTGGCACTTGTTTCAATAAACATAACATTCAATTCTTTTGCTTTGTTTTCCCCATCTTCAGTTGAGACTTGCCTGGAAAATATTGACATTTGCTAAAAAGCTCATGAAAATTGATAAATAAGTCAATTTGCATACCAAAACTTTCATCAAATAAGGTTTGAAAATTTCGTTTTGAACTGATTGATTGAACTGAAAGAAAATTATATAAGGAACCGACTTCCACTAATAAAAAGCTAAAGATGATATTATTAATTTGTTTGGGTGCATTTATGTGGACCCAACTCCTGTATTACATTGCAATTGATGGCTTTGGGTGTAGATGTGTATATATGCAAAACAGTCTCTTGTTTCATTGTTTCTTTATTGCTGCAATGTTAACATTTGTCAGTATTCACAGACAAAAAGGGTATTAAAACATTTAGAAAATAAGAAACCTCGCAACACCTCAGGAACAAACAACAACAAATACAAAAAAGATAACTATTATTTCACCCCGACATACCAGGTTTCATCAGAGCAAAAGTAAACATTACCAATAACAGCATTACACTTATAAAAAATAGCCAATAAAAATATTTTGTCTACATAGGAAGCAAAGGTATAAAAACAGAAACTGACGAAAGCCAGAATTTTGCCAGGCAAATTTAGAATGAAATAGAACGGAAATGTTACAGAAAAATATATTTACAGAATCATTTATTCTGGTAATGATAACAGTATAGAGACTTGTGTGTAACCTACTGAAGCAAGCCTAGTTTATCTTGGTAATGGAAAAGAAGTTTTCAAAAAAGAATAAGCAGGTTAAAAAGAGTTAGCCTCAAGGAGCTTATTGATTCAGGGACTATTTATATTGGTGAATTTGAGGGGGCTTTTCCAAGGAGGAACTTCTTAAAATCATCTCCAAGTTTTCATACAAATAGCTTCTTTTGTACCCATTTCACAATTTTATAGTTCAATTCATTTGCTATTTTATTTAGAAGCACTTACTCTAAAATATCACTATAAATCAAAGCACATTGTAGCCCAAAATAATGATATTTTATTGTCTTCAGTAGTCTTTTCATCAATGTTTTGTTTACTTTACCCTTTTTGCTGGTTAATGTGTTATCAATCATTAACTTAAATGATGTTTTACTCTGTTGTATTCCTGAACAGTATAGCACCAAGCATTTGAAAACTATTTCACATGGAAGAGTCGCGATAAGAATACTGACAAAGACAACTAATGTGTATCAATTCCAAATTTTAGGGCAGAAATTTGAAGTAAAACTTTCACATTAAAACATTTTTTTACTTTCAGGGTGAGGGCTTTTTCAAGGTGGAAGGTTATATAAGGGGGGGGGGGGGGTCAAGGACATATGGTATGCTTGAAATTGACTCAGGATACACACATACCTAAACATTGGAAACATAGAAGGAAATCAACTGTTAAGTAAAATATCAGAACAAATAAAGAACAAAAACGTGGTGCAAATTGGGATCAGGCCTCTCTGGAAGAAAAAACATGTGGGCTGAAAAAGAACCCCACATATTTAGGCCTTGCAGAATTTTTTGCTTAATTATTTACATTTGAGTTAATACAAGTTAAAGATATTACCTTACCTACTTGTAAACATTTTTTATTTTTAGAGAAAAATTTTGTTTGTATCACAACTTCTTAAAATTACCTAGTGTTTTCTTTAGTGTAAAATACTTTGTGTAGAACCATATATCTAAATAGATGCTTTGACTTTTACAAAACAACATACCTCTTCTCTGCAAGGTCTGTCTTGTTGCCAACCAGCATTATGATGACATCACTCCCACGCTCTGCTCTGACATCATCTATCCACTTGCTTGTTTGTTGAAAAGAATTAACATCTGATAGGGAAATGAAAGCATGCTTACAGGAAATAAATGTGGATTTTAAGATTTTCATCACATTCAAAATACCCATGATAAAAACTCAATGTGAAGATAAGATCAGATCATATTAGAACAGATTTATGGTTTAGATCAAAAGAGATTAAAAACTGAAGATAATATGACTCTGCATCTGCACAAAAAGGATCTCATCTTCACTTCCATATCATTAATAAAATGATCTTCAAAGGGAGTAGATTTTTATCTACAAAAAATCACTAGATAAAATTTATCTAGAAAAGACAATTGGTGATGTCTTACTTGTTATATCATATACAACTACAGCAACAGATGAATCCCTGATGTAGCTTGGAATCAAGCTTCTGAATCTCTCTTGACCAGCTGTATCCCAAAGTTGCAATCTAACCTACAATTAAGACTACAAATTTAAACAAAATAGATTACCCACCTATGCTGAAAGTTTTTATCAGCGATTTTTATGGATGATCTTTATATACAAGCTAAGTTTATGCATTATCTAGAAATAGTAAATTTTCATACAGTTAATTCACACAAAGAATAAACTTTCAATTTAAGTACCTATGGATTGTCTTTTTTTAAACATGCACCTTATTGGTGTTGGTGATTAGGCAACTAAGAACCGTTTCTAGCACCGAAGATCATAAAGTTTTTATCCCAAGAACATTGTCCCTTGGAACAGGTAATGGGACACCCTTTAGGCAAGGCTTCACTATCTGAGTACATTATCAAAATACACCTTGTAAATAAGAATCTAATTAACCACCTTTGTAAACACTGGCCCCACAATTACCATAGGCATGCAATCAACAGTCTGAATTTTAAAAAAAACAGTTATTCGTTGTTGGAACCTACAGTGTGTAGACAGGTCTCAAGTCAGCTTTTAAACTACCAAGTACCTTGATTCTTATATATAACATAACTGTTACTGACAAAACAAGGCAATAGTACTGGTAGAAAATTCACTTGTGGGAAAGCAGTTTGAGTCACAGCAGAAGCCCAAAAGGGCAGTTGTGGTAAATTTTACTTACTGTTCTATCTTCTAAGTACATTGTCTTTGATAAAAAGTCTATTCCAATTGTCGCCTGAAATTAAGAAATGATAAACTTAGGATTTCATTGACTAAAACAACTTGCTTACAAACAATCTTATAATAAATGTTATTGCCTTGTGTCCTCCATTGTCATTTACTCCTTCTATTGCCTTCATATCAACAGTAGCATAAGCAATCACACATTCACAGTATCCCTTCATTTCTGTTTATCCATGCAGCTTTGTATTTAGTTAGTAAACATATAAATACGGGACAATCACACAACCATATCACTTACTGGCTGTGTGTTTTCTGCATGTTAAAAAGGAACTAAAAAAGCAAAGAATAGGAACTATTTTGATAAAATTAACTAGGTAGCAACCGCACCTAAAATCCCCATAAGCCAGCAGTTTTGTGTCAATGTTTCAAATCATTTGTATTACAGAGAAAGTATATTTTTGTTGTTTAAACTGTATTATCTAAATCTCTATAGCTAGGGTTTCTAATACAGCAAACAAATCTAATTGAACTTAAATAACGGTGACCTCTGATTACCTGAAATGCCACAATGTTGTCAAAATCCGTGTAGGCTAAATAAAATTTACCCTCAATTTCCTATTCATAATTGTTTCAAATTAAAACTGTTTGACCAACTTTCTAGTGGTTTTTTGGCATTTATCATATTTTCTCTAACACTCCTGAGACTGCAAAATTTTTACTTATAACTGACAGCATGTTTGTGGCTTGAATATAAATAGATGAATGCAAATTTGTATGGCAGAGGTAGCTTAAAACCCCTTTAAATATTGAGAAGTAACACTTCATTTTGCCATCTAGATCTTTTTTAAAGTAGTCTGAATTTTAAAATAGATATGGTGCAGTTATCTCTAATTGATGTCAAAGGTTGAATCCCTGTAAACAAGACTGTAAACTCATGAAACCATACCTGGTAAGTATTGTCAAAACTATCATACATGAATCTTGTAATCAGTGATGTTTTTCCCACTATAAAAACAAAAGAAACAGTTTGTAAATACATGAAAAGTAAGCATTCTTTAGACAATCAGTTATAAATATTGAACTGAAAAAATTGAGAAGTTTACAACAAGGCAGTAAGTTGGTTAGAGCCGTGAACAATGACCTGAAACTAAATGTAGTTTTAATAAAACATTTAAATAAAGATACAACCAATGATCGATGCTTGCATTAAGCTATTATATTTTTCATCATTTCATTAAGTGAAGAAGGATGTTTTCATAGTTTTTGCATCCTTTTAACTTGGGTACTTACTACTTTAAACTCAATATAGTATAATAACAATTTGAATTTTGCAAAACATGTTTCCCAGGACTTTGGGGGCTTTCTTCTCACTGTTCATATATTCAAAAGGGTCATTGCCCACACTAGATTGACAATCCAGGCATTCTGAGGCTCAATTGCAAGAATTTCTTCACCAAAATTCTCCATTCTATTTGAAAATCCACTAAAAATATAATTATTTTACTGCAGAAGCACTGTTAATCAGAAAGTATAGATATACAAACAAGCTATGAAACAGTGTCATTGGTAATTGGCTAATGTGGGCTCTTATTTTTAATCCTATTTCTTTCCCCTTGCCTGCTCCTTTTCCTGATTTTTTTTTGCCTGACAATGTCTATTGAACCTTTAGCTACATAAACAAAGCAATAAAGCCATGAAGATATAATATTCCTCAAGCATAAAAAATTATCCAATGTTATAGCAAACAAAGTCGTTTCATGTTGCTACATTCCCTCTGCTACATCTCTCTGATACATTCCCTCTGCTTGTCATCAACTTGACATTTTGGTGTGTTTATTTGTGAATAATAAAGTCAAAATGCATCATTAACAGAAAATAATATGGGACACTTTGTTATACAAAATTTCCATTTCAAATCCTGAGAAACCCCTTATAAAATTGAAAGTCGATGGGTTTTGGGCTATACATCCGTTGGCAGATTTGCATCTTCATAATAACACGGGTAAAGAAGATTGACAGATAAGCGCCAAAAATTCTTCTCTTTTCTCAAATAGATATGAGATTTCCAGCTTTACCTTAATACTTAAAGCTAAGAACAAAATAGTATAACCATCATCCACTTCTTTTCTTTTGAATTGCCCACTGCCACTAGCCTTGGGGCTGCATACATAAATTCAATAGTTGACAAAGACTATGACTGTGGATGATTAGTGTGTTGCTACGCCCTTATCGGAAACCCTGCTCGGTTTACCTTCTTGTTAAACCAAACGATACAAAAAAATATGTGCCTTCACTTACCACTCTGTTCACCAAGAAAAACCAGCTTGAACTTCCTCAACGGATTGCCGAAGTCTGAGCCCATACCTTTTCAAACAATTGCACCTGACAACGAAGGTTGTAAAAAGCGACGCCCTCAGACTCTTGCAATACTACACTAATAACTCTCGAACAAGCTGCTCAGTCTGCTCCAAGGGTACATCAAATGTAGAACCATGCAGTTTAAATCGAAAATAAGCAGAATATTGCAATAAACGCCTTGTGAAAACTTTCTTTCCGGTATTTAATTTAACCTGCCACGATTACAAAATTGTATAGAGATTTTCCATCATACTGTCTCGTTCATGTACAATTTAACTCGAAAAGGAGGCGTAGCTATGAAGCAGTAGTTGGCGAAATGATGACGTCATAAATGTATATTTATATTTCTGATTTGGGCAAATAGAAAAACCCATAAAATATCGCTAAAAGTGCAAACACGAGCTGAGTTAGCTTGAACCCCCTTCCCACAAATTTTTAAAGTTATGCTTGTCTTTAAAGGTAAATTTGAGAACCTCTATGTTCTATATTACGACAGAAATCAAAGCCCCCACCCCACATTTCAAAACCTATCTCAACCCTTAAGTGCAGTCACTTTTTGCAACATTCAGCATGTCTCTTTTTAAGCAAAAAAATCATTTAAGCATTGATGACATGAAAATATGCAAAGTCTTGTTGCTGCTGGACTGACCACAACGAGCAAAATAAGCCATATTTTTGGCTACCTATTCTGTGCCTATATTTAGGCCAAGAACCAAGCTTTCAGGACGTTTTCAAGCAACCCGAACCCCCCCCCCTCCTACCCCCCATTACAATGTTGTTCAATTCGGCTGTTTTGACGCTGAAGATAAAAAAGTTTTTACTGGAAGCTGTCCGGGGGGGAGAGGGTCGAAATTTTTGAAAGCGGCAGTGATATTTTGGTAAGGTAGTTCTAGACTTGTTTTGTTTATTTTTGCATGCTGCAATGGGAAGCCGTTTCAGTTATTTTTTGGCAAGGATTGTAGATATTTCTGAAGTCATCACATTGTTATTCTTTTTTAGTTGATAATGTTAGGAGAGGCCAAGGGGCCTATAACAAAGAGCACGTTCAAGGGATTGGGGTGGGATTTGGAAGAGAGAGAGGACAGATAAATCATATTGATTTTTGTTTTGAATGAAGACAGGTTATATAGCAGGTAGAGGGTAGAACATTTCAAAATCTAAAAGTTCTGAGTTATTCAATGCTGGTTATCAGAGTTTTCCTAGGAGCAAAAGTAGGAAGGGGAAGTTTTGGGTAGGTTCGTTGATTCAAGTAAGAGTGCAGCATGGCTTTTGAATTCTTTAAAAGTTAAATAGTTTTGAATTGTTTTTAAAGTTAATTTGTGAAGAAATGTCACAACCACAACAAACGAGGCACTACAAACAATGTCGTTCTCCTGAAGCCGAATCTGAAGCAGAGAGGAAAACTTCTTCAATCAATATCCCGTAGGTACGCTTTATTTCAGACTGTCCTGCATGTCACTTTTTATTATTAAAAGTCAAACATAATAATCATCAAAGCCATAAAGTCTTGAGGTGAAGATCGAAAGTAATATCCTGGCAGAGTCACAAAAAAGGATAAAACAATAAAGAAAGTGTGAAGAAATTTGAAATTACAATGTTGGAAAATGAAATGTAAATGAATGCGAAGTGAGGCTTTGAAGCTATTATGTCAATACAGGAACCCTTGATAAATTTGCTTATTTCACGACTGAAGAATGAAAAAAGTTTATAAGGGTATCTGTAGTCAGCCACAATTTGTTTAAGGTAAATTATTACACGAGTCGACCTGCTTAACAAGCTTTTTAAATACAGTCCATATATGACTGTCTCTGGTACACAGAGTACCGCCACCCCTCTTATACTGCGTCTCCATTCTATTGATATCTCCTATACAAACCACTGGATCATCCCCTGACTTTGAAAGCACATATTTCGAATGGTCTTCGTAGTTAACAAACTCAAACTCATCTGTGTCAGTCTCTATATCAATACGTAGGATATTTTCTACCGTATACGGTGGCTTGCACCAAGAACCTGTTTTCCCGGATCCCTGTTGCCAGGTCTCTGCTAACATGCTTGTTTTTAAACTTGGTGCCACAAACGCTCCATACAGATCATTACCAAAATTTTTGTTTTTTGCAAAGTGGATCAGTTTTTTCCCAGCACTTGATACAAGCTTTGCTGACATATTGTAAGGTTCTTCAAGAATGAATTTGTTATTTACCAGCAAGCTGATGTTAGGAAACATCTGAGCTAATGAAGGGGGCAAGTTGAAGTCATGAATATGGGGACCATTAAACCTCAACTGCTGGCCTATTTTGTCAATTTCAGAAGCATTGAAATTGACGCAAAAGAATATTTGGCCATAGTAGGTCCCACTATGTGGATAATCATAGCCTTCATCGGCATTGTTCGAATATTTAGGCACGCTATGAACTAGCCAAAAGCCACCATCTTTGGTAAATGCCAGGTCACCTTTGCTGTGGCCATAATCGAAGAACTCTTTACCTTCCGGGTTTTCATCATTGTACATAACATAGGCCAAGTCACCACTGGATTCTATGTCACTTTTGCTTTCGTATGCGGGCGATAATGTTGATCCCATTGCACTCTGCTCTTCTTTAGCAGAGTATTTTGAAACAGAAAAGCCAGCAGAGTTGGAATCCATATATAAATAGCCATATCCATCTTTCAAAGGGTTGGAAATCTTGTGTGGCAATTTGTAGGCTATAAACCAGTCAACCTTATTTCCAGAGTCCCCAATGCAAGACGGTTTTGCTGCATTTGTTAGGGAACAGCTCCCTAACAATGAAATCAACACTGTGCCTACGATAAAGAAAGAACAAGAAAACGCCATGGTACCGGCCTGCAACTGCAAAGTTGTCTTCCTCGTCACTGCAACGAACCTTTCATGAAATTTGAATAAAACTTGAATCACAAGACTTTTGCTTTGTGTTCTAAACTCTATTGTTTTAATCTCGTGCTTGCTTGGGCAAATCGCCGACCACAGATAACGGTACCGGTACACAAACGCATGACAATTTTGCTTATATAAAAACGTACCCAAGCTTTTAAAAAACAGGGAACTGAAACGAATGGTGGAATTTAGCAAGCGAACCGGTCTGGGAACAAAAATGTTCTGGTTCATATTGTTCAGAATGTAAAGAACAATCGAACTATTTCTAACAAGGGGGTACTAATAAGAAGCGGTGCTGTGATTTCCCTTGTTAAGTTTATGCAAAAAAGTACAACATTAATGGCGACTCCAAAGTTTTCTTGATTGAAAAGTGTGAAATTTTAAACTCAAAAAGCATTGTGTTCAATTTGTTAATTATAACGTGTCATAATATCGCACAATGATGAAATCGCATGATTTGAAACACATTGCGTATCACAATGTTACACTTTTGCATAGGGTACCAAAACGCATATTACACCGCATTGAAGGGATGGTTGACTTCGACCTTGAAAATGGGTCTTAGTGTTGCAAGACATTTTGTATCATGGGTTCCAGGGTTCCAGAGTCTCATAAATCCGGGGATAAGGTATTTAAGACAACTGCGGTGGCAAAGAATAAGTGGATGCTCTAAAATGTTTTATGTGACAAGTTTCGAACTTTATCTCCGAGACTAAATAGTGGAGACTCTGGTACCCAGGGTAGACATTTGGTAGAGACTAGAGCAATTTTTGTCTCAGAGTTAACAGTTTTACGCCGAATATTTGACATTTCGTGGTCTATTTCAAGGAATTTAGGTTACCACTTTGTTTATTTTAATTCAAAAAAGGTCCAAAAAAGATTGAGGATGATTTCAATTGTTATTTTAATTGAAACTTTTAAAATCTAAGTTCTGAGTTCAACAAAAAAATAAGAAACGAGTACAAATCTTGAGCTTAGGTTCGTTGGACAAAAATGCGCATTATGCTAGACACTTACTTTGCAACTCAATATAATTCATGTAATTTGTAGCCTTTTGATATTCTGATTCTACCAAACTAATTCCACACTAAAATATCATCATTTTTAAGATGAGGGGAAGTTTACAGTAACATCGCTTTTGATGGCCGGAAAGGAAAATTTGCGAAATAGATCAATATGTGCTTAGAGGTTGAGTACTACAAAAAGGGCTGACTTTTGGATGCATGACTACCTAGGAACGAGTCGTTTTAAATTGCTCATTTGAAATTTGCCCCTCACTCCTCAGAAGCTCTGCTGGCTTATTGCATATCAGAACTTTTCTTTCTGCGTAAGACTGTTAAAAAATACTAGGACGAAGCAAAATATAACATATGCAACAAAAAATGACTTTGAGATTCATTTTATATAATAAATTACTTCTCCACAACCATATTATGCATCTAACTGCAAAGCAGATTTTACGAGAATGCTCATTGATTGTAAATATTTACAGAATATATCGACATCACTCCCTTTGGAATTAGCGTTTATAGAACCCTTTATCAAAAAAATATTATCTAAATGATTAAGAAAAATTATGAAAGTAGATAGTCGGAGTGGAACTTTCCAGTATAATTTTGGAACCTTTTGTAATCTTCTTTCAGTTCCTGCAAAAATTGAAGATGAAAAAAATATTTAGGCTATTCAAAGAGGACAAAGAACAGTAAATTAGGCCACTTAGAAAGCGTATTTTGATTTCGTGAGAATCGACAAAAATAAACCTTGTAATTATCAACAATGATCTTCACTTTTTTACCAAAGAAGTCTCTCACTAAAGACATGCTTTTTACAGCTAAAAACAAACGTAATCTCTACAGAAAAATTTCATTTTCCATTTTTAACTATTGTCAAATTAGTCTGAAGAGAAGTGCACGCCATGATTGGATACGACAAAGTTTTCTTGATAAATAGCTCTTACAGATTTCAAGTGCAACGAAGATTTAGTGGAAATATCGCACCTACCAAGAACATTTCATGTAAGTCCTCTTTCCGTTTTTTCTCTATTTCCAACATTTCAGTAACATATTTGATGCTATAATGCAAAGATTACAAGCATTATTCCAAAATGTTTTCATGAAAGGAGATCCCACAAAAACAAATTCTGTTTGATGTGTAATGTTAGCGAACTACTTAATAAAATTCAAACAACTTTATAGGACTGGATCATTTACTATCGACTTTTATCCTTTTGCTTAGCCAGGGGTTATTCCTAAAGACAATTAATCTAAAGTTTCTAATGCCGAGCAGTTGCAGAGTTTATTCAACATATTTTCTTAAACAGTTTCTACTTTCCAAAATAAATTTTGTGTATACCAAGATAATTTACCTTTTCTCTAAGTCATCTATTTTTAAGTTGTATTCTGTTCTCATGGCATCAAGAGCTGACTTCTTCTCATTTTCGCAAGTCTTTCTAGTTTCTGAGATGGCTAGTTCTTTTTCTTTATCTGCTTCTTCCTAATAATTGTAAACATTTGCATTTATTTCTAACCAGGCAAGAAAAAGGAGGGCCAAGGCACACATTCTTGAAGAACAGGGTTTTTTAGAAAAACATTAGAGTATAACATCGTATGAACTGCTTTTGTGAAAAGGCAAATCTTTTTCCTCATCGCAGCTTTGAAATGGTTTGACATAGTTTAGTGCAAAGAAAACCTCAATTTCTATGTTGATTAAAGAACACTAAAAAATCGATAAACACCAAAAACGTTTAAATTCGATAGACGAAACAAAAACATGGTTTAGTGAACTAATGGGATGTTTTTGAAGCTCAGAAAATGAAACCGAAATATGTAGATAAAGCACTAGAAGATCCATGAAGGATGAGAAGATTTGTGAAGGATGAGAAGATCTGCGAAGGATGAGAAGATCTGTGAAGGATGAGAAGATCTGTGAAGGATGAGAAGATCTGTGAAGGATGAGAAGATCTATGATCAGAAGATAAGAAAAAGGAAAATATCCTCGATCAGATCTTTCGTTTTAAAACCTTGCTTCATTACTTCCTTACAAAGGCAGTTTTGAGAGGATTATTAACGTAATAAGCTAATAATAATTCCAAATTTCAAATAACTGCGACAGATATATCCCTTTTTTGCATCACATACCAAAGTTGAGAATCTGGCATTGCAGCTCCTAATGTCAGCGGCAAATTACTGAGAATATTCGCTGCCAACGAATCATAAAATTCCAGAATTTGGGAAAAAAGCCTTGCTCGTTCGCTGGTTCACAATATGAGAATTCTATGGTACTAATTTGGAAACTCAATCTGCAGTAAAGGCATCGAAGCTAGGGGTTCTTGTGACTTATCTTATAAGTTTCTTTTCTTTTCTTAATAGTACCTAAAAATGTCTCTTGAAAGCCTTGTAGAGTGGTAAAGACGATCTGGAATGTAAGTACCATTAAAAGAGCTTGAAGATAGATGTACAAACCCTTTAGACTTTATTGAAATATCAGGTATCAGGCAATTTGCAAATATTAAAAATATAAAACAAAATTGATCTCACTTGGCCTGGCGAATCAAAAGTTTACCTTTAATAGTTTTTTCTGCAGTAGAAGTTCACGCTCTCTCTCTTGTCTAGCTTCTTCTTTTAATATTTCCATAATTCTTTTAATTTCCTTCGCAACGAATTCGTCTCTCAGTTTCTGTTCCCTTTCCAAAGTTTCTCTGATAGCAGCCTCTTTCTCTGATTGGTAACGATCGTAAGCCTCTTGAGCACGTGCATCTTCCTCCAGCTTGCACTTCACCAAGACATCGGCAATTTCTTTTTTGTGATCCTTAACCAAATAAATATTATCTTGACCACTGAATAAAAAACCTATTCTTGCTAAAGACATTTAAAGACGAAATTTGTTTTAAATGAGCTTTTCCATATTCATGTATCAATACTACATTTAAAATTCAACATGCATAAAACTGGTGACTCAATCAGGAACGGCATTATGTATAGACCGAATGTGATCAAGTTTATTATTGTCATTCTAGTGGCTAAAAAATATAGTCTATGCCAAGAGGTAAAATTTGAACTGCATCTGGCTTAATTGTATCAATTGGTATGACAAAGAAAGCTTTTGTCTAAATTTTAATGAGAAGTAAATTCATCTGCCTCTAGATCGTTAGCCATCTTTGGGAAAAAAATCTGTCACAACGGGGAGCTGCATTTATTTTGGATTAAGCGTTAAGGACAATATTCTACATTATAATCAAAAAGACCCAAAACACACCTGTAGATAAACCAACCAACCATGCATAATATAAATATTCAAAATTAATATCAATGCAAACCTTCTTTAGTGCTCTTAATTCCCTTTTCTTTTCCTTAGTGAGTATATCTGTTACCAGCTCTATTTCACTTCTTAGTTTAACAGCAGCTCTCTTTTCAACCTCTGCCACCTTTAAGACAACAATTAAAGAGATTATGAAATTTAGCTTTCAGTTGAACATTGACATTGAGGTGCTGCAACCCATTTGTTTATAAGATTTAGTTTGGCATACAAATATTCAGAGGTATATCTGACAGGGTGCAAGGGGCTACCCCCATAGTCTAGAAAGTCAAGATATGTCACAGGCAACATTGAAATGCTAAGATTAATAAGCTCTTTAGACATTTGAGCCACACTTATACACATTTTGAAATCCTGTAGAAGAAATTGGAGATTTAAACCTTAATTCAAGAGCTATACCCAAAGGCGGAAAGTAATAAACTGGCCACCCTTCTTTTTTTGCATTGTTGGCCCCCTTCATATGGACTGCATAAAATGATATACTTTTAACCTTACACAGAAGTAAGAGAATTGGACGGATACTTAATAACAAATTTGGCATGAAAGTAGCATCAATTTCACAATTGTAGCCAGATTTATTTGCAACACTTTGACAAATGAACAAACATCATACAGCTTCTTGGACTGCTTTTTCTTTGTCTTCTCTCATTATGGCCTGCACATGATTCAAAAGTTCAGTCCCAACACCTGGCAAAAAAGTATCCATAGATTATAAGAAGGAAAACCCAGTTAGAGATAAATTAAGGAATTTAAAGAATTGCAACTCAGTACCCTCTGTTTTTCTATGCAGGGCTGAGTTACTGAGACAAAGTTTATCAATCTATGAGTGTGCATTTTAATACATTTGTTCTCTTTAACCAAGGAAAGAGATATTTTTTAAGAATTTTTAGTAGCTAACAAACCAGAGAAACTAACCTTCGAATCACCCACTGACTCTCTGAGCTGGCTTTACCAGTGTAAGTTGTGGTGTAAAAGCAAAATAATTCCCTTGGCAACCACTATAAATAACTTTTTTAAGCATTTTTTGCATCAAAGTTTTGGAAAATTCAGGTTAGAAAATCTATGGGTGATCATGGGTATGAAACGGGTAGGGAACAGATACTGAAAAAATTGTATTTCTCATAAAAGATTGAAATGCGTTACAAACAGGCCTCTTCTCCGTCACCCAAGTTTTTCTCAACCTGTAGTTTGTTTGAAAATGAAATGATGCAATCTAACAGCTTTTGCATCATTAATCAACAGACAAACTTCCGTTCCGAAATCATCAACGATCAAATTATTATTACTAACGCGCCATCCACATCACATCCAATTAATTTACAGCGCCATTAAAAAACTAAATAAAAAGATGCTTACATATAATATTAGAGTGAGATGCTCTTTGTGTTTTCAAGGTAGTTTTCCCATCTAGAAGCCGCTCGATCGTGACTAAGGCACTCGAGGTCGCCATTTTTCTGTTGCCAATAACAAACCTCAGTATCGTTCATTGAAATTGCAAGGTTACGCCAACACGAGGCTCAAGCTATTACATTTATGGGCTGAGGCTGCGAGCTGCGAAGTTACTGCAGCCATAGCAAAAACGTCAACCATAGCAAATTCATCCTTGCCGATAATATAACGTACGATCAGAACTATTTTTGACAAATCTCGCTCGTGCATTTGTCATTACTCTGCAAACTTCCCAGTGTTGCAACTTTTTTCAGAAAAAATGTTTCTCAAGGCAGTGTAAAGGATGGTGCACTAAGTAGCAAGTAGGCCTACGTACTTGATGGTTTCAGAGCACTGATCTATAGGAAAGATCTTTTTATAGGTCAGTTTTTCAGAGGGGTAGGAAATGAATCATTGATTATATTGGTAAAAAATAGAAATCATAGAGTTTGGGTGATTCTTCAACCATCTAATTCCTAGCAACAGTTGGCGAACCTATTCCTTACAGAAAGGGATTTAAGTTATTCAAGTGATTTTAGTTTTAATTTCACCAGAACTACTTGATGATTGATGATCCTGACAGCCCCTTGAAATTATGCCTTGTGTCCCAGAGTCTCACTTATTTAGTCTCAGAAATATAGTTAGAAACTATTTACATAAAAATTTCATTCTTTGCCACCGCAGATGTCTACAATACTTTGTCCCCGGCCTCACGAGGCTCTGGTACCCAGAGTATAAAAATTGGCGTCTCGTTAGTTTTAAATGACACATGACACATGTCCGAGGGTTCAAGGGTTCGGAGCCATCATTCATCTTGGCCAATAAAATTTTTTCCTTAGGAACACTGTCCCTACCAGGAGCGTGGATGGAGAGGGTCAAGGGGTCTAAAGACCCCCTGTAAAGTTAAACAGCTATTTTTTCGGAAAATTTCTAATATTGTCGGAAATATAACATGGTTTTCTATATTTATCCAAGTGTTACATTTTGAAAAGGACGGTCTTAAAAGGTTATCATAATGATTTCTTCAGTTGTTCTGAATCAGAAAGGCAACTTGAAAATGCCCTTTGCGAAGATAAGACCATAAAATCTTTAAGACCATAATTGAAATAGTATGATTTATGAAATATGTCTTTGAGTAAATAATTAGACTTTATCTCCTGTATTATCTCAGTTCTAATGTCGTTATGTTCTGAATCTCTGTCACAACTTTTTTGAATCTGTGTCAAATGGTACACGGCTCACCAATATGGTACACGGCAAGCCTAAAATGACATTTTTCACTACGAAAAAATACTTTGCAATCTGGTATTAAATCTGTGCGTTACCTTGGTGCTAATTTTTTGGAACGATTTTCCAGTAGATATAAAAAGTTCATTGTCTGTTGCTAGTTTTTCTCAAAAGTTTAAAAGCTTTTTATTCAACAAGAACTTTCAAAGTTGATTCTGAGGCAAAATTTATAGTTCTGTCACTCATGTAAATGATCAATTACATTTAAAACCACCTTAGACAAGGGAGCGCGCTCTCCTCGATTAGTTAGTTCATCTACTGAGAGAGCTCCTCCTTAAAAAACTCCCCTGGAAACAATATCTTACGCAATTGTTATTTATTACCTGTTATAAGTTTTATGTAATGTGTGAACATTGTATGTAATTAGTTGTAATGTAGTTGTAGTACGATACTCAGTGGCGGATCCAGCCAAAAATCTGACTACCGCCGAAATGAGATAGAGGGCTGACCACACCCTTTAGACCACACCCATTTCTTGGTCACACCCGGTTTTCTAAAATGATTATTGCTTTCTATAATTTCTTATGTAGACCATTTTCAAGAGACAAGCGGTGCTTTACTGAAATTTCATGTATCCTTACAACGAAATGAATAATCTTATTCAATATTCTGAGGATGGATATTCTAAAAAAAATTACGGCATATAGACGAGGAACACCACAGTTTGCCCACTTGCAGAATATGTAGGCATCCCCCCATCTTTCTGTAACGTTTGAGCCGTGTTGAGCGGCAGTACTACTCAACCCCCCATCTGAGCGGTAGTCAACTCGGTTGTTCATTGGTTGTCAACAAAATTTGTATGCATCCCCCCAGGTTGGCAGAGATTTCTGACGATTTGATTGGTTTAGGCAGGCTGACTACCGCTCAGTGCAGCTCGAATCCGCTCAACACCGACTCAACCCCCCTAGCTAGCAAGCCATGATTTCATCATCCCCCCCATGCTAGTCTTCTATTTGCAAACATGTGGCTCGGCAATTGGTACGCAATTTCCATCGCGATAAGCATTAAAAAATATTTCTGTCTCTGTGGAAATTTCAGGCATGTTCCTAGGAAGAAAGGCTTGGTTTGCAGCGCGATCAAATATTTTCAATAATTAAATATGGTTTAATTAAAGTAGTAGGATAAACATGAAAATGATCCTTGTTTCTATAATTTTTTGAATAATCTGACTACCGCTCGAGCGGTAATGGCGGTAGTCTGGATCCGCCACTGATACTGTATGTAGAGGAATTTTGAAATATAAAGAACTGAACTGAACTGAACCGAACCGAATCGAACTTAACTTAACTTAACTTAACTTAATTTAACTTAACTTAACTTAACTTAACTTAACTTAACTTAACTTAACTTAACTTAACTTAACTTAACTTAACTTAACTCAACTTAACTTAACTTAACTTAACTTAACTTTACTTAACTTAACTTAACTTAACTTAACTTAACTTAACTTAACTTAACTTATATGAACTGTGTTCAAATGTATGAAAAAATTACAAATGTTTGTTAGATTTCTGTCGGAACATCTCAGTTTTTTGCCCCTCCTATGAAATTTTTTATCTACGCAACTTGTCCCTACCTATGAATTGCATAAAAATTTCCTTTTAGCGTTTTTGCAACTTGACAGACAAGAACAAAGAAAAATACATGAAACATATTATAAAAAGTACTGATTCGGATGTATTCAAAATCAGATTAGCATGAAAGATAACAAAATTTTACCAGCTTTTAAATTAAACAAAATTTATCTAAATCAAGATGCAGTTTAAAAGGTTTTAGCACTTTTAAAAATATTGTGTAATACAGTGCAATAAGCGTTGGAAGGAAAATGAATTTAGACAAAATTAAATGTAAGAAATTTAATCGCTTGATACTTCGTCGGATTTATTTTTGGAAAAGGCATGTTTTAAAAAAACGTTGTTACTTTCAAGTTAACATTGGTTATCTTTGACACTATAAGCCTTGCTCTAATGAACTTTGTTAATTCAGCAAACCGATAGAAAAACAGGCCAATAGTATGTAATGTAATACAATATCGCTAGATGACTTGGGTAGGGCAAAAGTTATACTAACTGCTATTTTAGTTTATTACATTGAAATTGTGTGTTTTTAGTTACAAGTGATCCTTTTCGCTCATTACAGCCCTCTGTGCAGAAATTTTTATCATCGAACTTGCTGTGCAAAGTAGTATTTTGTATTTTTAAGCTAAAGTTGGAAGCAAGAATTGTAAAATGACAGCATTTGTATATGGGATCCATGCAGCTCATACATTTGTTACTGATTTGTTTCCCAAATCTGGCCAGACCTGGAAAAAATAAAACCATTAATGTATGAAATTGCCATGATTATTGACATAGTTTTAACAATTCATCTGAGGTCTACAGCTTATAAAAAAGGGCGGCCTACATTTTTTCTTGCTGAAGAATACCATATACCCAGCAACGTCTCCATGCCTTCACTGATTTGCAGCTAATAAAATTTGCAACATTTAATGTAACTCAGATTTCAAGTAAACATGCTCAATGTAATGGTCACAGGGTTGCTATGTATTTCCATGCTCCCTGTGGCATCTTCTTGTGGTTTGTCTGTTTTGTTCCCAAACTGGGCAAGAGAAGATAATGTAAAGGCTGTAGTGCACGTGATTTGAAATTCGCCGTAACCCCCGGTTTTGGAAAATGCCCATATTTGGTAAACGCAGCAGGTATTCGCCAGAAGGTAAAGGTATCTTAATATCACGGTGGTAAATTAGGAGAGATGTTACCTTTGCTGTCATATACGCCTGGTCTATTAGGGAGTGGGTGGTAGTTTAATTTATTTCTGAGACTAATTGATCATTTTAAAATGCGCTCATCTTGAAGTTTTTATACATCAACTCACATTTAGTAGGAGTAAACCTCCAGCTCACATATATGCAAGACTGCATACTGTCTAAGCAGCCAGAAGAATTCATATCTTCCAGTTCTTTCATTCTGGCAGACGAGATCAATCACTCCACCTTGTGGGACTGCTGCCTCGTAATGAATGCATCTAAAAAGCGGTAATAATAATCATGATCATACTTTAATGTTAGGAAAGTAAAAATGAGACAGCCCTAAGCAGATCCAAGGAGCAGTCTCACTTTCCAATTTGGATCGAGACCCCTGAAATGCAGTTTTGTTTGGTTGAGCAAATCTTTTTTACCGACAAAGCGACATTAGACGGTATAAAATCCTCGTTTTTAAAACAAAAGTTTTTTGAAGGGGGGGGGGGACGATGTCCCAACCATTAGCCTCCCACCACCGTAGCTACGGACCTGGCTACACGTGCTATATTTTCATTCTTTCATGCTTTTCTGAGATTTTGCTATTTTAGAAGATCTTCATTGCATTGGTTTGACTATCATAGTACAGAATGAATCTTTGGGAGAACGTTTGGAAAAGACCGCGATTCGACAGAGAAAAAGTTTTTACTCACAGAGAATTCTTTCCTGGCTGTCCATCAGTGTCTCCAACTCGTATATCAAATGACCTCAGCCATCCTCCACAACAATCACCTCTGTTTGCTATTATGACTTCGTTGACTTTGTACCTTTTGCCTAGATCTACCATCGCCCAAGGTCTAGGCCCTGCTTGAGTGTGCATACAGGAGCCACCTTTGTAGTGTACGTTTCTGTTTCCGTCAACAATTCGAGAAGCAACACCACCAAACTTTACCGAAGATTGCTTTGTGTTTTTATGTCTTGCGATGTTTGCTATAACTATAAACCAAGGTATTTATCTAGAATATTTGCTGAAAGCTGAAAATCTGGCATTTAAAGAGTTGCCTTGCTATTACCCTT